TATTAATAAATCATTTTTATATGTTAATAAATCGATTTATTAAATAGTAATAAATATTTGGTTAGTACAAAAAAATAGCTGCTAATAAATGATTTATTAACTGTTAATAAATATTTGTTAAGGACCTATCCTCTAATAAATCATTTATTAAATATTAACAAATCTTTTTAAAAACAAAAAAATCCTTCTATCAGTGCACATAAGTTAGGTATGACTTTTTTTAATCTCCAATTAATTAATAGTTCATCCATCGATGAATAGAATTAGTGATCACTATTATGTATGCAAATAAACTATTTTTTGAAACGTCTCTGTAGCTTTTATTCAAGTTGTAATCAAAACAATCAACACTTGGTAATAATGGCGGTCACTTTTGGCGCGGTTTAAGTGACGTCATGAGAGCAGTAGTTGAGAGTTTTAATACCAAAGATATCGTTGTTTTCGACAAATTTAGCATCTTTACCACCAATAAATGATATACTTCTGAAGAATAATAAAATAATTCGAGTCAACTGTTATATTCACTTGTACCAAACTTATATAGTTGTCATAAGGAAATATTTTCAAAAACGACTCAAATAAATTGATTTATTTGTGACAAATATTTCTTTTTTCTGTGTTATTATCATTATAATTTCGATAAAACGAGCAGTTAGAAAAAAGAAAGTTTTGTCCGGATAACCGTTTTTAGAGAGGTGATAAAATTTAGATTTGAAGGGCGAGTTGAGTGAATAGAAGACTAGATAGATTGAGGTTAGGTTCGGACCAGAAGTACCTAATTTGATGGCATTATCTGGGAAGTGGCAGAGTAGAGGAATGGGTCTGGGATCCGGGAGGGTAGGAGAAAGTACGGAGCTGAAGATGAGGGCAACCTCAGCACCCGGGGGACTGAGAAATGAAAGTATTTACGGGCAGCCATCTTAACACTATCCGAGTCATGTATCCTCGATATCCATGTCCTGGTCTGGTGTGCGATAACCACTCTAATGCTTGCCCTTGCCCTCGTCCTCGCTATTGCCTGATTCGGTTGGGTTGGCTCTAAATGTTATCCATTAGTAGGATACCCTCCTTCACCCGCAAACCCTCTGTTCCTCTTCTCAGCTTTTCTTGGATTCAGAGATCAATAGAATTGTTTCTGACTCGCTGGATTTTATTTTTTTGGACTGTTGGGCTCTAGAATATTTTAGGCGATAAAAAATTTATCTCGCGGAGACAGGCGAAGAAATTCACGATGAAGAATGAGTTATGTGCCAAGTTGGATACATCTAGGTAGTGCGAGAAAATAAATGAGAAAAAGCTGTATATAAAATAGCAGTTGAATTTTTCCATCTTATTCCTATTCTAAATGGAGTTGGATCTACTTCTTGAAAAATTCATTCCTCAGCTGATCCATCTTTTATCTCGATTAAGTCTCGAAGACTAGATTCAATTTAGTGTAAAATTTTTTTGTGTCTAAATCTGTTTTTTTATATCGGTCATTATTTTGCGTTCATTAATTTTTTTGGGTAAATTTATGTCAGAAACAATTTTTTATTGTTTATGATTTTTTAAAAAACAGTTTATAATTTTTAAATATCGTGCTTATAACACTGAAGAAACAACTTAATTACAACAAAAAATATTCCTTTGGAAAGTTCATTCTTTCGTCGAGATATTTAGCTTGAAATAAGTCAAAAAATTCAAACAAAGTTTAAAAAAGTAAAACAAAGAGGATGTTGAAAAAAAATTTCCTATTCAACAATTTTATTAATTATATAAATCATTTCACTATTTTTATATAAAACGATTTTTATTTAATTTTAATCTATCACGAAACCGTATCATACTGATTAATTACATCAGGATGGATGATCAAGAATTGAAATCAAAATTACGGATAAAATATTGAAGACAAGATAGAGGAACCAAATATTAACCAAACAATACAACAACTTGATTTAAAAAAATCTAGTAATTTAATTTTATATTCACACGGAAAAAAATATCTCTCAGAGCCATACGGTATGGTTACTGTAGGAATACGTATTGCGGTATAGTAGCTATCTAATAGGTCACTTCAGTAGCAATATTTTTTTTTCCGTGCAGTACGTAATTATCAATTTTTAATTATACTTTCAATTAAAATTTGTGTATGCACATAAATATATGCAGTTTGATATATATGCAGTATCAAAATGTCAGAAAGTTGTGAAAATTAGTCATTAGAACTTAACCTTGCCGTATTTATTAAGTACATTTATCATCAATTTATTAAATATTAAATAATCAATAAATAAGTATTTGTCAAAACAATTTAATATCGAAGATTAATTATCAATTATTATTGTAAGAAAAAACATGTTAATAATTGAAATAATACTCTAGTGAACAATTGGTGTTGTAAATTATCCAATGTACCTAATTTTAGTATGGCTTCGGTCATTGATTTCAATATGCGTAGTGAAAATGATATTGCATCAGAATATAAGACAACAATACTGAAACCATGAACATATCAGAGTGAATAGATAACCTGATGTCAAAACTATTATAGATTAAAAATTAAAATTATAAATATATTTATGAGTCTAGTAAGCATAATCCGAACAAAAACAGTTTCACTGTAAAAAAATCGCGCCAAGTCCACGTTCATAAGACTATTAAGAAAAAAAAAATTAGTTTTCTTTACAAAAAGATACAAAATAAAAAAATTAAAAACTCCAAGTAACCGATATGATTGTATATGATTTTCCGAAATTAGAAAAAATTTTATTGTAAATTTAAAAATTAAAAAAA